TTTTTTAAGTAAGCAAAGTACCTGGAAATCTCAAAAAAATTGCCTGTTGAAATCTGTTACTTCCTCTATCCTCTGTGCTTTTTTTGTCACCTTCTTCTGCCTCTCCAGTCCGTGTTCCAGATGCCGGGATCTACATGGTTGGCATGGCTGTGTTTCCTTCCCATAATCCTTTCCACAGTGCTTCACCCTCACTCCACTCTGTTTCACAACCTCCCAGCGGTGTCATTGAGGTAAGGAGATATCTCAGCTTAATATCTTTCTTTTTTTTATGCGTCAGACTCATTGCAGAGTCTATTTCATTAAGCTGCTTCTGCTTTATTTCTCAGATGCTGTTGTTCCCTGCACTGAGCTTTGTTCAGGCAGGTCGTCTGTCCTCCCTGGAATTTGTCACTCAGAACCTCAGCTCACAAGTCAACGTCCGATTTCAGATATACAGACCTCACTGTCATTATCACGGCACACACCTGCTGCTCCCCAGTGAGTCACACACACACAGAAACTCACTAATATACACTCGCCAGGTGTTAAGAAACATATAAGCCACCTGAGCCCACACCTCTAGTCAGACACACTGACCAGGCTTGTCTTAAATTGTTAGGTAGGTGAATGTGAAAATAAAATTTTCATGTAGACAGAAAGTATAGTAAAACATGAAGGGAAGGAAATCAAATAAACAAGGTCATCTCAGTTCTGAGCGATTCATGTCTTTGATTTCAAGCCTGTGAGGCAGGGGACGAGATGTAGGAGATAAAAGGATAATGTAGTTTGGTATTAATCACACTGAGGGCAAATTTAGTCTACCCCAGACGTACATGCACACACATCTTTCACTTTCCTGTTCCACAAGTGCACAATTTTTGACTTGCTTTAACGAGATTTTCTTGTTGGATTTAATATCTCTCATTCAGTAATTCTTTCCTTTAATCTACATTTTTGCACCTTCATACTTATATGAGCAGCTAATGAAAAATCGTTATTGTTATGTAACTACCCATCTGCATATTCAATAGCAATGAAGTTGAACAACACTTCTGCATGTACAAATTTCATTTTTAAGAAATAACACAAAGCTTCTTGTCTTAGGTTGCGGAGGCCCAGCATGTTCCCCGGTAGCTCTTTGTGTCTCAACTGACACAAAGAGCAGTGATCCATCCTCTTGCCCCCGACTACAGCAGTGGTGTCCCTTCCAGGGTCGGTGCCTGCCCCTCTCTAATCCCTGCCCACCATCTTCCTGTCCTAACTGCACCCTTGTTCAGCACCTGACAGCTGGGACATTTAGGCCCCGATACATCCTACAGGACGAGGTGGTTTTCACTCTGCCAGCAGGATCAGCTTTACATGTGCTGGTGAGAGGATTCGCTTTTGCTTTTAAGATCAGTGACTTAATTTGAGGATGTATACAATCAAAATAGATAAACAGTTAAATGATTGCTGCTGTTGTGCCATGCATGTTAGGTCACTACTAAAACTGTGTTCAGTAAAGACCCATATTTAAAGACAAATTGGTATCTGCCTTTAACTTAAACCTTTCTGGTCCCTGTTTCTCACAGTTAAAAGACCAATTGGAGGACATTTTGGTTTCACGTGGTGATGTGATCGCTCTGCAGCATGATGCCGGTCCATCCTCCCTGCTTCACTGCCAGTCTTCCCCACAGTCACCATGGCGACAACCTGTTTTAGGTCTTAAACGATCGGAGTGGTTCTGGATCAATAACACCAGACTCCCAGCAGACAGTTCACCTGACCATGAGCCTGACCTTCTGCCTGACCCGGAGCTCGACATAGAGACACTGGTGAAGACTGGCGAAGCAGGCTGGCTGGAGGAAGTGGTTTGCCCTGTCAGAGTGCTTTATATGGAACAGAGTACGACTCAGCTGCAGGGATCGCAGCTGTCTGCTGGGCTTCCTCAACCTGGAAACTACAGCCTGCTGGTAAGCCATCAACACAGCATGCATGTGAGAGATTTCTATATGCAGGTGGAGGCCAAGAAGATGGGACCTGTAGTGAGGAGTTTGAAGTGTTAGAATTGGTATTTTTTTTCCTATAACACCAATGTTGCAAGATACTTAGGTTTAAAACATTTAAGGAAGTTTTTGGCTGTTATCTTTTAGCACATTTATTAGAGTGGTTTGTATTTAATAGTAATAATTTAAATAAAATGCATTTATATTTCAGGTGACTTCTGTTGAACCGTCGTACTCAGTCTCTGCATCGTGTCCATTGCGGGTGGTGGCTCCATTGGGCCTGACAATCCTCCATCCCCCTGTGCAGAATGGCACCCTCTACATTCAGTCCGATGACACCCGGCTTCTACTCCATGTGCGGTCTCGCGACCCAACAACGGTATCTTGGCGTGGCAGTAATCATAGTGCCACTTTCAAGTCTGAATGTCCCCTGGATTTTTTGTTCAATCCAGCACTCTGTCAGCTGGGGCCAAACCCAGGATCTGGTGGTGTGGTTGCAGAGCCCAGCCAGTTTGCAGTGCTGGATCTGAGTCTGAAAATGGAGGAACACAAGGATCCAGTGAAGGTGGAGCTGGAAGCCCACAATAATGTAATAGAGGCCAGCCTGAAAGTGATTGTTCACCTGGAAAAGCCACTGAGAGGATTGGTGGTGCAGCCACATCCTGCACGCAGGGTACTGATGGAGTCAGTTGTGGTGAGTTATTTTGCTTATAGGCTTATTTGAATGACAGTTTTATGAAGAGATCATAATCCGTGTTTATACCCTGCATTATGCTCTGTGTCTATTGTAGAGCTACACAGCGTCAGTGCTTGAAGGCTCCAACCCCACATTTAAATGGACAGTGGATGACAAGCCCTACTTCACTTATTATAACACTGTCCTCAATGTCATCTACCAGAATGCTGCTATCTACAAACTTACAGTGAGTTTCTGTCTCATCTATTGAGTCAAACTGTTGTCACATCTGGGCTTACATATGGACACATTATGCCCATTTTTAAAAAATAAATTAATATGTAAAACATCTGTTTTTGAAACCACTTGCATCAGATAGGCTGTGTTCGCTCATGCAACTCTGTCATTAAGGTCTAGAAAAATTCAGAGGTGTAGTGTGTTGCAGTGAATGTGTGAAAATAGCTACAGAGAACGAAGACAGTCATCTTTTCGAATATGGAGCCAATAAATGTCTGGGAAATTAATTTTAAACTGGGAAGTGAACTGTGTGATTGGTTAACAGAATAACATAGCGGTTGTCGTTGTAACAGCTTATTATGCAGATGTGACACAAGCCTAATGTCATACTGACTATGCGCTATCTTCCCAGGTGACAGCCATGAACCATGTCAGCACGCTCACAGACCATTTCAACGTAACCGTAGACCGGCTCCAGCCCATGGTCAACCTCACAGTCAGGGGAGTGCCAAATGTGGTCCCCCAGGGCTCCGCTCAGACTCTTACTGCCTCGGTGGTCATGGATATGTCAGTTTCTGCCACTTTCCGGTATGAACACCAGGGTGGATAGATGGACAGCGTTATGTACAGTGATCCCAAAACTCCCCATTTCTATCTCTATTACTTTTATTATATTTTTAAGGCTGAGTAAAAAACTGTTTGTTTGTTTTCTCTATTTCTCTTATGCTTTGCTCTTCTTTTCTGTTTTTCTCTTCTTGTGTGCCATAATAGCACTGCAGCAGTCAAGTCAAAGAGAAGCCTTGGATTTATAACTGTGCGGTTAGGGAAGATTGCTGACAAGAATTTTCCCCTCTGTGCGGCTGTTTCCCCTCTACTTTTTTTTTTCTTCATTTTTTTCTTCCACTCTTTGTATCCCACCAACTTTGGAGTACTCTCTCACTTAGTTTCTCTGCACTCTCACCATTTTTGGTTCTGAGAGGCTTCCTCAGTTCCAGTTTCCACTTCGCCTCATCCAAACCCTTTATTGCATCGTCAGAAAAGATTCCCACTTTCCATCTCTCCAGTTAGTGCGCCTGTGTTTGTGTGCATGTATTGGTATTACTCGTGTTATGTCTTTATAACCCTGTTTACACATTCACTTTGTTGGTACCGTAAACGACATAAAGAATGTTGCTTTTTTTTATTTGTAGATTTCTGATAATGTTTTTGCATTGTATCATGTTGCAGATGGTCTTTTGGTGATGGAGGATATAAGGAATTTGAATACAAGCCTCCCTACTCTTCCTCCCTCTTTTGTCAAGACTCACCTAATCAAGTCCTCCTAAGCAACAATATTACCTATAATTACTCTCAGCCAGGTAACAATAACAGCTTTGAAATAAAAAAGCCTATTTTTGTGTGTTTTGTTTTTTTAAGCCTGGAAGTAGATAATAGCTTACAAGTTATGATAATTAGGTTGAATAAGTTGAAGCCTCTCTCCCCTTCAGGGCTGTCTCCTTATGCATATTGGACATTTCACAGCTGTTTTGAATACATCAAAAGAAGCATGTTCTTGATTGTGCGCCTGGACCGTTACACTGCTAGTTCTTCCACTGAAGACTGTTTTTTAATTCTCAACATCAAAGTCCAATCTGTTTTACACCAAAGTTATCAGACTGACTGGCAAATTTTAGGTGCATGGTGAAATTTTAGACCTAAATGCAAGAGGTCAGATTGGGACCTCTGAGCCAGCTCAGTGGAGCAAAATCCAAAAATATAACTGAAGAGCTGGAAGAGGTCCAGAAGTTAAATTTAAGCTAAATTTAAATCATGCATGTTTTTATTTGTTTGTGGACAGAGTCACAGAACTTTATGATCCAAACATGTACAGAAAATATCTTCTTTTTTTATGATTTTCCCATTCCCACCTCTTTTTCTTTTCAGGAATATACACCGCACTGGTGTCAGTTTCCAATCGTTATGAGAACATCACTAAGAGCATCAACATGAGCGTCTACAGCATCCTCACTCATGTCAATATACAGACGGAGCCAGCACTTCTCCTCGCTGGCAAATCAGCTTTTTTTGAGGCTCACCCTTTGCCCACACCGTATGGAATTCACTATGAGTGGCACTTTGGAGATGGCTCTGTCACTCAAATAGGTCGCCGCGTGCCGCACACCTTTACAGAGTCGGGCAACTTCACTGTTTGTGTTTCAGTAAACAACACCATCAGCTCTAATAGTGCCTGTGCTGAGATGTTTGTGTATAAGGAGATTGAAGATCTAACAGCTAAAAGCACTTCTCCCACAGAGCTTCACAGTCCTACAAAGGTGTGGGCACACCTTCGTTCGGGTAACAACATCACATGGACATTCGCAATGGGTGATGGAAAAATTTATACTCAATCCGAGCCTAACGTGTCACATACCTATACGAAAGATGGTAACTATACAGTAAATGTGACTGCTATGAATGCTGTAAGCTCTGGATGGACAATCCTTCCAGTTCACGTGTTTGTCTTCCAAGTTATAAGAATGGAGCCTTCCGGATGTGTCCGAGAGCAGACCACTGTCAACTTTCAAGCCTGGGTGTCTGGTAACGCATCAGCTCACCTTTACGAATGGAGCTTTGGGGACGGAAGTCCCAACGAGACACACCGTGGCAACCCCAGAGTCTCTCACACTTATTTGGCAAGTGGGAATTACCACCTTTCCTTGCTCCTTTCCACTGGTTTGAACAAGACCACCAAGGCCAATTTCTTCACCTGGGTGTGTGTGCAGCCAGCTTTGACCAACATCAGCCTTACCCCTGAGAAATCCCATTATGCTGTGGGAGAAGAAATACAATTCTGGGTTAGAGCTGAACCTCAATTTAACTACAGTTATCAGTGGGACTTTGGTAGAGAGGAAGACCCTGTGCTCATTCATGGTTCAGGGAGTATGGTGAAAGCATTTAAGAACCCAGGTCTCTACATGGTGACGGTAAATGTTTTCAATAACATCTCCAGCAGTAATGCTAGTGCTGTCATTGAGGTTCTGATGCCCATTGGACCAATTGTCATTCAGCATAATGGCACAAAGTATGATAATTTGACACTTGGAGCACCATACACTTTTATCAGTTCTTCATTGGCCTCCAATGTCACTTACACCTGGAACTTTGGAGATGGAAATCAGCTTACAGGACAGAATGTCCTTCATACCTACAACATCTCTGGAAAATACAATATCACGTTGAAAGCAGCCAACACAGTTAGTCAGAATGATACTACTTTAACAGTTATTGTGATTGCACCAATCAGTGGGTTGAGAGTCAATGCAAGCTTGGTAAAAGTCCCTCTCAACGAGTCAGTCACCTTTGAAGCCCAAATGGCGGAGGGCGATCGGTTAAATGCGCGGTATTCTTGGATACTGTGTGACCACTGTACCTCAATCCCAGGGACCTACAAGATGTATTACACCTTTCGTTCAGTTGGGACTTTCAACATCATTGTGACGGCAGAGAATGATGTAGGAACAGCACAAGCAAATATCTTCCTGTTTGTCCAACGTGAGTTGGAGGGGCTGCAGATTTTGGCAGATGAGACTGGCAGAGAGGGAGGCACCAGATTGGATGGTTGTTGCTACCCTACAAACCGAGGTCTCAAACTTCAAGCTGGATTAAAGGAGGGCACCAACATGACCTTTACTTGGAACATCATCAGAGAGCTAGATCCTGACAGCTCATTCAACAAAACTGGGAAAACAGTTCAACTGAATTTTCCCAAGCCCGGTCCTTGTGTCATCTTACTCTGGGCAGCCAACCTTCTGGGCCAGCTCTCTATTAACAGAACCATTCGCTTTCTAGAACCAGCTGGAGATGTGCACCTTCAGATCAGCAAAAACCCAGTGGCAGTCGATGTTTCAGTAAATCTCACAGTACTGACTACAGAAGGCTCAGACCTACAGTATCGTTGGTCTGTAGATGGGCATGCTCTGCAGTGGAATATGCCTGGGAAGACCCACACCTTCAACACTATTGGGGAAAAACAAGTAACCGTTGAGGTCTTTAATGAAGTTAGCTCAAAGACTGTGTCAAAGCGTGTTAGTGTCCAGGAAGTAATTTCTGGCCTAATCTTCTCAGTCACCAATGGGACTCAGGACAGTTACATAGCAACGCGTGACAGCATCTTTCTACAGGGGAAGGTAGTGACAGGAACCAATGTGACATGGACATGGCTGTTGGATGGAAAAACAGAAACGGGAAAGAAAACATCTGTAATTTTTCAGGAGCCAAAGATAGCCACTGTTACTTTGAATGCCACTAATGGTGTCAGCTCGCAAGTGTTTTCAAAGGAATTCTTTGTTCAGGAAAGGATTGATAAGTTGGACTTTAAGGCAAGTAAGACGTGTGTAGCAGTGAATGAAAAGGTGGACTTCATTATTTCCATGGCAGCAGGTTCGGACGTTGAACTGATTCTCAGCATCAGCGGCGATGCAACTGTTTACGCTAAGCCTAATCAGAACTACAGCCACGTATTCAGCAGGGTGGGAACATACAATGCGAATCTCACTGCTCACAACCAGGTAACGTAAAGGAAAAAGTTAGATAATGTACATTGTAAGAACAAGTCAGTTTTACTCAAGATATGAGATAAAACATATATTTAAACAGATACTAAATAAAATACTGTCACTTTTACCCATAATTACCTTTTTTAATGTCCCAAATGTGTTCATCTAGGAAGTATATCATATAAGTTTTCAACATAGTGCCCTTTATAGAGTCAGTGACAGCATTTTTCTGTTTTTTCATGTTTATCAGGGAGTTTTTGAATGTTTTGCGCTGCACTATAAGGGGCAAAGTAGAATAATCAAAATGACTTATGCTAACTGGACTGTAGAAACATATATCATACCAGCATTATGTTAAAACTAATGCCATGTATTGATTTCATGCAGAAATTAGAATAAATTATTTATAGTGCTGTCAGCGTTCATCTCGTTAAAATGACGTTAATGCCATAACCGCGTTAACGGGCAAATCTCCTTTAGCAAGTTATCGCGGATGGCCCTGTGCATGGGGCTGCACTGCGCTAATGCATTAACGAGCTAACCATGCTAATGCGTTGACGCCGTGCAGCCCCATGCATGGGGCGATCCGCGCTAACTCGCTAACGGAGATTTGCCGCGTTAATGCGGTTATGGCATTAACGTCATTTTAACGAGATTAACGCTGACAGCACTTATTATTTATTAAATATGTTAATCATATCGGCACAATTCCCATATTTGTTTGCCTTGTCTCTATGTCCAGGTCAGTTCTAAGAGAATCAATCTCCATGTTGAGGTGATGGAGCTGGTACATGGGCTCTCCATTGAAGGAATCTCAGATGCAATCGCAGTTGGTGAAAATAAAATGTTTGTGGCCAAAATATTGGCGGGCAGTCCTGTAACTTATCTGTGGACTTTTGATCTGCACCATCACAAGTCATCACATATCGGCAAAGAGGTAAATTTGGTTGTATATTAAAAATTTCATAATATCAACATAAATATCACAGTATAACAGGCAGTGGTTTGCTGTATCTCACTGAATCACATCATTCCAGGCACACTACACTCCAGAAGAACCAGGTAATTTGACCATTCACCTGAAGGTTTTCAACAATCTGCAAGATCAGGAAGTCACCAAGTGGATATTGGTACAGAATGTGCTGAAGTCTGCAGATCTGAATGCTGTTCCACGGAATACTCTCATTAATAAGACGGTGAAATTTAGAGCCAACATTCTCCCCGTATCTAATCCTGTGGTGTGCTTGTGGCACTTTGGCGATGGCTCTGCTCCCGTTCGCACAAACACCACAACTGTGGGATATGAGTACAGACACAAAGGACACTATCTGGTGCAAGTATGTTTCTTTGAATTCTGTTCTATCTGTATCTGTTAGGTTTATTTCTTTAAAAAAAAATGCTGTATCTTCTAAGTACTGTCATTTTATGAGCTTGTTTCTGTTCCTTGGTAGGTAAACTGCAGTAACATGGTGAGCTGGGTGTTGGCGCAGGTGGAAGTAAACATCAGTGTGTTAGAGTGTGAGGAACCAGAAGTCCACGTGGTTCAAGCTCCACGCTTGTCCATCTGGCGCTCCCAACCCGCTTTGGTAGAGGCCAATGTGGATCTGAAAGGCTGCATACGCTACGGAGCTCAGTACCTCTGGCAGATATTCTCAGGATCCTCTTGCGATAGTGAAATCATGAAGGACCAATCAGTGACCCCCGGAGCTTCGATTCGTCTGCCGGTGGAGGTGGACATGCGGCGGCTGCAGCTGTCGTTGCCTAAGATGGCTTTGGCAGCAGGGAACTACACATTAGTGTTTTCTCTGTCGTATGAAGGTGTGCCTCTGAGGAAGGCTGCCTGTCTGCATTTAAGCATCGTCTCCACTAGGTCAGTAGAAAAAATAGTAACCAAGCATTCATATAAGTTTTTTCTGTGATGTCGATCCTTTTTTCATTATTTACCTTTCAGCATGTAACATGTTTTCCAAACATATTATTATAATAGATTCTGTGTCTGTGAGACAGCTCTGGCTGTTAGCACAGTTGCCCCATGTACCTGCTGTGCAAATCTGTTGTTTTGAACTGTGAATCGTGCAAAGCTACCCTGGTAGAGTCCAAGAAGAAATAATTACAACAGTCTATCTCAAATCAAATTTAATAACCAAACTTAAGGAAATGACTCCATTAACCTCCTAGGACCTGGCGTCCACATATGTGGACATCACATTTTAGGTTATTTAGACCAAAATACTCAATTTTGCTCTACAAGGGCCTGATATCCACATACGAAGACATTATACTGCTACTGTTCTATTGAAATTTTAAATGAATATCCTCATACGTGGCTCTCATTTTTCTTAGAAACAAAGATAAGGTAAAAAAAAATAAATCTGGTAATTCTTTGTTTTTACATTCATCAGGTCCCAATCAGCCCAAATATCAAAGAGAAATTAAAAATGCATGCTGTGGAAGAGTTCGGGTCTTAGGAGGTTAATATTTCCTTGAATGTCTTTGTGACATTCACTGAAAACGAGTCTGTTTCCTCCCTTCACAGCATGATTGGAGAGAGGTGCTGTTGGTGTTCTGCTCACGTTGTTTCTAATGCGTTATTGATCCTACACGTTCAAATATGTGAATTTCTTTCCAATTTATCCTTGAAAAGTGCAGCGATATGGTCCGTGAACATAAAATAAAAATGTTTTTGGAGGGTTTTTTTTTATCCTCTTAAATTTCCCATTTTCTTCTTTTGTTCTTCTGTCTTCTAAATCAAATATGGGGATCTATTCACTGTGTTGGAGATAGGTTGGGGATAGTGGCTGGTATAAAGGAGTTTAGATGCTGTTGATGGTAGAACAGACTAAGCTGATATTTAAATGAAATAATTTGCACATCCCAGAGGAGATTAAGAACAGAAGGGTGAGAGATGGATGGTAAAGTGATATAATTTTAAAAAAAGGACTTTGAAGAACAGGGACTAGAGGCTTGGAGAGCAGAGGACATTGACTATTTCACAAGAGTACTGATGTTGAAATTTTAAGATGTGACTTAAACATCACAGGAAGTGACAAAGAAATGAGAACAGCAGGAAAACATGTGACTAAGAAGAAGTAAGCTAACAGTGCAGAAATGTAAACCTAAACTGCGAAAGAAAAACTTACAGTAGAAAAAAGTACAGTACTTGCTTTACATGTAGTTCCGCACAACGTACTGTTGAGGTTTTCTTATTAGTTTCTTATTCCACATTTCTCTACTTAAGTATTTTTATATGCATTAATTGTAGAAACATAGCTCTAACTTTACTGTGTCAATGAAATGCAGAATCAGTTCAGTTCTGCATAAGAGATTGCAAGGAATTTCTTGTTTAATTTGAACCCTTTTTCTTTTTAGGCTGGTGCCAATTATAGAAGGAGGCACCTACAGGGTGTGGTCAAGAACACAAGACCTGCAGCTCAGTGCAGAAAAGTCGTATGACCCCAACATGGACCAAAGCAGACAATCACTACTCCACTACCACTGGGAATGTCAAAACACCTCAAAGGTAAGGACAGGGAGTAAATAGGTTGCTTTGGCCTGTTGTTGGTCATTCTGTTGATATCAATTGACATGTCGTGGCGCAACCTTATTGTAGCAGATAAGGTATTAGTGTCATGCATTACAGTTGTGTCTAAAACACAATTGTCTTTGCCCTGCTGGTCAGACAACAGTGTCCCGTCATGTCTCTTAGGTTTCTTTGTTTTGTTTTGCCTTTTTTTTTTTTTTTTTTTTTTATCACATACGGATGTATAAAAGGACTATAATAGGACTACATCATCAAATCAACCTTTAACCAGTACTACAGAGATTGTACTCCTAGGCTAATAAGTAAGATTATTAGGGCTGTGCGATATGACCAAAATCTCATATCCCGATATTAAGACATCTATCGTCCGATAACGATATAAATCACAAAAATGTAACATTT